CACACACACACACACACACACCACCTCTATTCTGTGTCTTATGTTAATGTCGTCCTTTAACTTTCTGACATTTACTTTGCAATGTTCTTTATTTGGAAAACATGTCAGAACGGATAAAGAAGCATCAACTTGGAGTTCTGCAACGCTCCAAAAGAAGGTTCTCTCTAACTTCACACACACTCACACTGCCATGCCTGATGTGACGAAGGTCTTCAGACTTTTGTCAGCGTCCAAGACACACGTTTCATTTTGTTTGGTCAGAAGACGGTCAGAAGCGTAGGCCTGACCCTTACACGTTTTGTAACATGAACGTTACAGAAGATCAACACCAGTCTGATGTCCGGGTGGTGAAGATGAAGCTACAGCTAGCTGTTGGTAAGACAATCATACCACAAAGGCAAAGGAGAAAGCGCCAACGCTGGCTCCGTCCAGATGCTGCAAAATCCACCGAGCAGCAGCTGCAAGGCTCACAAGTGAACGCTTTGTGTCTCCTTAGTTTGGTGTCAGTATCAAAACAACAACTCTAACGGTGGTTTATGGAGGTTCTGCAAGAAGCTATGTCTTAGCTGGGGACAACGGCTTCTCTGCTGGTTGGCTGGAATAACATAAGGCCAGACTTTGCCCTGTATGTGAGTTTTCTAAGGTCAAAAGAAATGATTGTGGGATGTTCTGTTCATCTAGGAAGTATCAGTCAGAAATGTAAAGGAAAATGATTTGGACTTACTCCCTGGGATGGGCTCTTCTTCTGCTATCGGCTGGTTTTCCAGTTTGTCTTGCAGTTTTTCAGCCTAGGATAAAGAGAGGGTTGCGGCCAGCAAAGCCAACAATATGCCCGGTATGATTAGTGTCAGCATAAATTTCTATGAACGACAGGGGTTGTCTGTGTGTTTGACAGGTGTGTGGTTTTATACCTCATGACAGGGCGATTCTGAGATACTGCCGAAGCTGGAGCGACTCAGCTGAGCCAGTGACGTCCCGTAGCGCAGTGCCTCGTACACGGGGTCAACGCTGCTGCTATCTGCCTCTAGATACGGCCGGCCAAACGAAACAGAGCAACATATGAGCAGCTTCATAGTGGTGGCTATACATGCACACACACGGTCAGGCATCAAGCATTGAAGGCCACAGACACGGTGATCAGTCATCCTGTGAATCCAGTTGTTGGCTGCTGTGATGATATATCAGTGTGCAGATCCATCACTCACCCTGGGCAGCAGGAGCCTCTGTGACCACACCCAGTGCATCGACAGTGAGCAGAGGAGAGCTGAAGTTTCTCTTAAAAGCTCCGGACTGACAAATCAGGAGCGAGACGAGAAGGAAAGAGGAGACAAGAGGGAGGGAGGAATGTTACTTGAAGTGGAAAAATGACAAAATGGTATAAAGGTAATGCTGCAAGAGGATAGCTGTGCGGTTCTATGAGGGAAAAGTGGGTCTACGGTGAATGTCATAAAGGCTGAGTCATGAAAATATGGATGGATGCGCTCAAAGAAACCTGGGGTGTTTCCTTTTAGTGTTGCCAGTTTCTACAACACAAGTACTCTGCACCAGAGAAGCACTTTTTTGGTGCAAAGGTACCTGGGTTGGACTGGTTTTCTATACACACACAAACCAGACACATAACTGATGTTTTTATTCATCTGCAAGCGAAAAATACTGCAATAAAGCACAGTGCAGCAGAAAAAACACACACATTACATCTGGTTATACACACATGCAAAGGACTTGAACAAGTTAACTTTAAAAAAAAAAAAAGACTGTTGTGTCACAGAGATATTCCTTCACGTCCATGTTTTCAGGCTGAGGTGAGAGAGACGTGTTGGCGTAGGGTTAATGTGCTGCCTCCACTTCATATAAAGTCACCACCTTCATCCAACAGAACTGAATTTAGACATTATGAGAACAGTCACAGAACATTATGAGGTACGTCAAGATGTTACAGCAGGGCTGTTTGGACAGCATCAGATTGCACAGGCGCACCTGAACAACTACGACGCCAGGACGTTTGTCAAAGGCAAACATTAATGTCAGCTCTGTGTCCTGACCACCCGTCTTCCTGCATCTGAAAATAAAGAATTGTTCCATTTATGGACTGTGGGAGGAGAAAAAGTCCTCCTGATGAATGAGCAGTTTTCTCCTTAATAACCTTTTGACAGTAACGAGTGAACCTCTAATCAGCCTGTAAACAAGCAAACCATGTTGGCGCTGTGGAGGCCACATGATCCCTTTGACATACTTTTCCATCTTGACATATGAAGGTTAGATTAGCTAATATGATCTATGACTGAATTATTGCACCGACTCCATTATTGCCCCTGATGGTGGCGATAATACACTCGCCATTAGTTTTAACAGTAATTTTCTGGAGAAATGTCCTCAAACGCTGCAGTGTGCCTAATGGAGTGTGACTTTTTATATCTGCCTTCCAGGACGTTTATCCACGTGGTCGGCGTATTGAGGCGCCACAAAGATCCGTCTCTGTCATATCGAAGATCAACCTGCTACTGTACAGCTTTGATATCTGACCGTGCTTCTTTATTTAGCGAGAGAATATGTTTAGCTCCTGCACATGACTCATCAGAGATAACATTACAAAGCTCTGTGTGCGACGGAGGGCTGCGAATAGAAACAGCTTATACAGATAGCATCTCATCTCGTTTTCATCTCTGGATCTCTTTCCTTCTCTCTTATAGGCTAAATGCTAAAAAGAACATATCATCAGGAAAGTGGCTGTAATCTTTAATCTCTGTTCACAGTCAAGAGTACTGAAGAGCCCACGTGTTAAAGTTGACGTTTGTCACCCAGCATGGCTATACAAATACTCCTGATTAATCAGTAGTTCACCCAGTGACTGGTAATGATTTAACGCAATAAACGTGACATTTAAGGTGAGGGAACATCTTTATATAAAGAACATAACATGACTTCCATGATGACTGAACAGACCCTGCAAGCGAAGGCCGTCTGAAGACTGCAGAAGTCATCCAAAAGTGAAATATTGCTTCAAGGTAGAGAGAGAGTGTGATGGCAGCTTTCAGGTCTAACATACAAGAATCTGCCCAGAACCGGCAGCAGCGTCTCCTCTGCACTAAAACAACGGTGCACTACGATACACCTGAACAGTGTGTTCTTGGGAATGTTTTGCTTGCTTTAACGCACAATGTGGATTATTAACATCTCAGATGCACCTTAAAAATTCAAATTTACCAACATACTCCATTTGTACTGCAACGCTCAGAAGACACCTGGTATTTCTACCAGCTTAGGAAGCACTTTTCTATCATTTTATTGTATTTCCTCTGATTAACAATCTGGTCTAGAAACTGCTCAGTTCATGATCAGTCTAAGAACTGGTCACATTTGAAAAGCTGAAACAAAAGGAATTTATTGTATTTGGCAGCTATTAGCGAGTTATCCAGCTGCCAGCTTAGTTAATGGACTGTTGCAGCCACAGACACATGCAGCTCCGGCCAAGAGTCCAGGTGTCTGTCATGCTGTTTTCATAAGACTGCTTTCATTATCCTTGCTTTATTAATATATTTATTTTGACAAAGCGTTTCAGAGGAAACACAGGACATGAGCGAAATAATAATAATAAAAAAAATCTTCACAGCGAACACCTCACTTACTGTCAGATGATGCAAACTGATGAGAAACAACTGACCTCACCTGCTCTGCCAGGGTCCCAAATTAAACTAAGCCCATGTGCTCAGAACTGCAGGTACATAAATTATTCTCTCTGCATCACAAACCTCACATTTTTTCCTTTCACATCAAACAAGCCAACACCAGCTATCACAGCATATCAGTAATGTGACTGTGCAGCAGAACTGGGCAGCCTCAGACTTGAACTTTAAGAGACCAGACAAGCTGAAATTTCACAGTTTGCGCGACTGAGATGAAGATTGAACCCTGACAGCTGAAATATAACAGCAGAGACTCACACACATTGGAGTGTGTGTGAGTGAGTGTGAAGCTTCCTGCAGCAGCGATTATTTTCTGCAGTGCTCAGCTGGCTCACTTCTCAAACTGTAATACATCTTTAAGTTTAATTAACATTGATTAGCAAAAAGGTTGTCATGATTCCAAAGCAATTAAAAGCCGCTTGATTCTGGAGATTTTTTAAAGCAATTGGTCATATATCGGTGCACTCAGCAAATGGGCTGAGAACGAGCCCAGGGAAGTGCAGCCATCGAGATTTCTTTGTTTTAATTAAGCTACTTCACACAAACACTCGCTTGTGCAAGTTCTGCCTTCTCAGTTTTGTGTTTTATTGGTTATTGGTAATTTATTGTTATTGATGAGCTGTGGTGGAACTACTCTGGTAAAAGTTCTGCAATCCAGACTTCCAGTGTGGGGGTGAGTGTTGGCCTCTGCCATACGGTAACATTACATGACACGTCATTTGGTTATTATTCAAACTGCATTTTGATGCTGTGGCTAATCACAGTTGAGCTCATTCAAACAACTGCAGATGACAATCATTGTATTCTGTAGCCCAAAAAAACACTGAATTTACAAAATATAAAGCACGTATCCTTTCTCTAATCTCAGCTGGCAGCATGGTTGGATTACTTCACCCTGCTCTCTTTTCAAACCAGCTTGTATCAAGAATTATTGTGGAAACCAGTGTGAGCATGTTAAGTTCAGTTCAGTAAAGGATCCATATGCAGAGACTAGAGAGGTAGAGCAAACAAACCTAAACACTAGTGAAGCTTTGGGGAGATAAACAGGATGGCAGGCCGCACAACGCAGACCCGTCAAAGTCCAACTAATGCAATAGTCCAAAAAAGAAAGGCCAAAATGATTCAATAGGGTTAAAAATATCAAAGTACAGACATATGTAGAGACACAGGAGTCACAGGAAGGTTATTTATAATGACACTAAATTAAAGGGAAGACAAGACACAGGTGAAACAACGTGGGCAGGCAGACAATTAAAAAACACTGAGACATAAAAGTTCATCCACTTTTATGGTCAAAGAGTCCAAAAAAATCACCTGATCCTATGTCTTTCCTTCAACACTTTTCCTTGGTTTTGTTGGACAACATCAAGGAAAGAAGTGAAGACATAAAAGACAACATAAAAGTGAAGAAGAATTTGTGAGGACTTACGAAAACCCAGTCGCAGTGCTCAGAGAGTCTGACCTCATTCACACCTGGCTAATGAATACATGTGGTGTTGAAATGGGTCTGTGCTGAAAGCTGTGCTGCTTTGAATGTTGCTGCTGCAAGAAACTGTGGGAAAGCATTATGTCCTTTCCTCGTGTAAAGGATGGACCAGTGTATCCTGCTCAAGGATCCTTCCCACTGTTGCGGACTGCTTTCAGACTGCTGAAGCTTTTTGGGAATCCAGATGTTTGGATTGTTGGGTGTTTCTGTCTCTGCCTTTGTTAAGCGCTATGAGATGACTTGTTGTTGTAAATATGTGCTATACAAATAAAATTGAATTGAATTGAATTGAATAAGAAGGAAGCACTGATGCACCTCTCCTTAGCATTTAGAGACTTCAACCAGCTGCCACGGACACTTTGGGTCATTAACGCTCATGCATCCATAGAGACTTTCTGTCCTTTTCATGTTTGATTTTGCCTGACTTAACGCATATGCCATGCAAATCTGACAAAGGTGTTTATTTGTGCTCTTTTCCCCATAAAAAGCAAGCATGACATCATGTAAACAAATGAGGAGCACTTAAAGGGTTAAGATGGGTAGTTCGGATCAGGACTGACGTCGGCTCAAAAATCAAACTCAGTGAAAGTGGAAAATAATAATGCAGAATATTTTCATAGCAGTTTTTTTTACGAGGACATTTTGTCCTTAAGGATCCTTTGCACCGGTTTTAAATTGAGAGTTAAGAACATTCCTCGGCCAAAAAAGAGAGACTACAATCACAGTCAAGAAGACATCAACTCACAAGAAAGGAGCAACAGAAACAAGCAGACTATGGCAGTGAAGCTGCACAGAAAATCTACAGAAAAGTGACATTTATTCAAGACAAATCATAAAAATAGGTGGCTTTCATTTGAGCAGCTTGAAGTTATCGCACCAAAATGGCAGATTTTACTCTACCTGTTCAAAGGAAGAATACTGTCAGGACAAATAATAATACGGAGATTTTTGCCTTAACTTAAGTTAAAATGTTAATTTAAAAGTGGAAGAATTACAGCATGAAATAGAAACACTTGAAATTCTTGTAAAGCAGACTTCAGAGTGCAGTACTGGGGTATATGTATGTAGTTTTCTTTCATCATACAGCACTTGCTCTGATAAATTCAAGATTAGTCACACTAAGATGCTCTGCTCCTCCTGGACTCCGCCGCTAATGGACACTCTGCTCTTTCATCCCTGCAGCAACGAGCCTCTGGTTGGCCTCCAGTCACCCCACACTCCGGCTGGCATTTCTTCTTGTGAAAAAATCTCTGTTGCAGTTTTTCCTTTCCTATCGCTCTACATTTCGTTTCTATTTCAGGCTTTTCACCACGGCTTGCACCTGAGCAAATACAGCACTGTAGTCACAACACAAGTACGACTTCACAAGAGGTCCATTTGTTCACAAAATCTTTGGATGCCGCACTTCTGTTCAGAGTCCATGAACACCACACCTACAATACGTAGATGTGCAAGACGGAGCCCCGAAGTCCACCCAGTTTCAGTAAAATGCCTAATCCTTGCTTTGATGAGTGTGCAGAGATGGAAAAGGACACTGCTGAAGGCTTGGCGGGAGCCTGCCATGTCATATCCTCGAGGGATTGTGTGTGCCTCAAACACACTGAATTTCACACTGAATTAGCCAGACCAGCTGGTACAGAGAGATATTGATTTTCCAACAGAGTTGAGAGGGGAGGAAGGAAATGTAGCGCCCAGACAAGAGAGAGGAAGAGAGGAGGGCGGTATGTGAGAAAAGCAGCACATGCAGGAGGAAGGACAAAAAGGCTGAGTGAGGAAATGTTGGGACCTGGCCACGTAAACTTCTTCAGTGTCATCCCGCTCAGCTTTTTGTTCCTGTTGTGGCATTTATAGCTGGGAGATAATTTTGTCCCACTGCTACCCTTTCACACATTTCCAGGCTTAGTCTGGTGTGCAAAGCCATGGTCCATCCACATTCCAATTATAACCGCTACCTTTTTGTCTTTGCTGGTTTGAAAAGGGCTTTATCCTCCTTTAACAAGACCAGGGCTTTGAGGCTAAGCATATTACCAGGACTAAAGTCCATGCCAGCTGACTGAGAGAGACAATTACAGCATCCACATGCTGTTTCATTCTGCTGACACCACGCATTCTGGGTTAGTCGTGTCCCACCGAGCACGTGCACATTTCCAGTACATTTTAGAAACAATTACACAACATTTAAATGTGTAATTAATTATGTGACTGACATTTTTGCCCTTTCTAAGCTGGTCTGCAGGGAGATAACAGCAGCCAATGAGTAAAGAAAGACTGAGGTAGACTAAACCTATTAATTAATTCAAAGCCAGCCTGACCAGTGATTAAGCATTTTATCCTAATGAGTCGTCTGCTCTGCTGTAGGGTGGCACTTTTCCCGTCCACAAGGCAATAAACAGCATTAATAATAAAAGAAAACAATCGCACTTCATGCATCACTTATCAAAAAACAAAAACAAGCGCTTCCTAATTATGAAAAAAAAAAAGAGGACACACCAGATATGCTAAATGCTGCCTATACTGTTGGTGCACATACTGCCAAATCTAAAACTAACATAACCCTTAAATGTATGATATTGATTAAACTGCAAATCCAGTTTCTTTCAGAAGACTGTGCTGCTGACACGTGGATCACACTCCCGTTAACGCTTGACGGCTGAATATCTCCTGAAAGCTGGAGGTTGCGTCGGTGCCAGACATCGCTCGTGAAACTTTGTGCTACCATTTATTTTACGTGGGCGGTATAACGGTTTGATGAAGGTACAAAGGGCTTGGCAGTGAAACCTAAGTCAGTTTGATTTGAAGTCTTCTTACCTTGCCATTACAGGGCTGCTGGGAGAGCTCCGAGGAGCACCAGAGGTGGGCCGCCAGCTTACAGGCTTTACAGCGCAGCCCCTGCTTGGAGTTCCCTGCATTGATATCAAACAACACACTTTAACACACAGACATTTGGTGAACTGAAGACTGCTGTCAGTATTTCTGTCATCAGCCACAGGTTAAGGCTCCTGAGGAAATGGTGACATCAATGGTAGTGGCAATAAAACTGTGAAGACATAGCGTAGCTGCTGCCAGACAGGGCTCTGTATGCTATACAGAAATACTATATTCATGTCATTTTCTTTTAAATGAATAGTTTTCAAAAAGCAAATTCTTTACTTTGAGTCTGGTTTCTTTGGTTTGTAGTAGAGATGTTGATGTTTAATCATTAGTTGATTGTTTTGAATGATTTAACTGATTTAAAATATATTAACCAATAAGGCAGAATAAGGACATGATGTAGAAAAAAGCTCTCGGATATACGTTGCTTTGGATTAAAGTGTCTGCCAGATGTAGTACCTGGTTGTTCCACCAGGTGGAGCCTCTTACTGTTTAGTATTAGTGACCCAGGACCCCAAGATTTCAGTGGAAACTAAAGACCTCCAACCAGCGCTCACGGTAATGAGAACCGATATCTAGTTGGCTGATGTAACCAAGTCATCACTGCCACAAAAGTCACGCATCCATAGTAAAAGTAAAAAAAAAAAAAAAAGAACTAAACTAAACTAAAAACTAAAAGCAAATCTGTGGAAAAATGCATTCTTCATTCACATTAATGATTATTTGATTATAATAGAAAATGTTGCTGACTATTGGTTGAGAAAATTGTTTGTGGGTGTTTCAAACAGCATATTTGTAACTTCAATCTTAATTTTAACTGTTCCATCGCGTCTGCCTCACCCATGGATCGTACAATTCAAGTATTAAGTCAGCTGTCTAAATATAGGTTCTGACACTCATGTGCTGGGTCGGGCCTCTCTGCAGGAAAATGCATTCGTACAGATTCTTCACGTGACACAAACAGATGTACTTCACCTACAACATTCCTCTTAAAACACGCTCTCTTAACAGAATCTTTAAATCAGTGCCTACATTGGTGACCATCCTAATTCCAAAGACTCAGTTTTATATTAAAAAAAATAAAAAATACAGTTTCACCAGTTTGGTGGATGCAACTGGTAATTCTACACCAACAGCACAGCTGAGAGACATCAGCATGCCAACAGAAATTAAGGCTCAACAACTCCCAGTGGAGGCATGTAAATGGGGAAACAAGACCACCAAGGCTGCAGCCAGTACGTTTCACTGGGACCATTTTCTGCCAAGCAAATATTCCAGAGAGATCTGTGGATACTCCTGAGTGTCTAGACTCCTTTAAAAACCCCAAACAAAACAGTTGCCAGTGTTTCACAGTTATACTTCAAATAATAAATACTTGGATTAACTGATGTTATACGTCATAAAGCATAAAGTCCATTCTGACTGGTGTCGCTACACTGATGGGGGCAACTCTGGTTAAAATTAATATATTTAAAATGCTAACGTACAACAATCTCATCAGTTGCCTGTTGCTGCATTTTGAGTGACATTTGCCTCCTAAAGCACAAATATTTCCTCCATGGGAGTGTTTCAGATAACAAAGAACACTTAAAATCTGCATCAACAGGAACAATAAACCATGCTGCACTTCATACATGCACATGGCTGCATCCCTTCCATGCATGCAAAGCTCTGGGAGCAGGAGGCACAGTCGACCTACCTTGGATCATGTGTTTGCATCGCTGACAGCTGGCTGGTCTACGGAAGACATGCTCCTGGAAACAGTGGGTCTTGACTGGCTGCATCAGCTGGGCCTGAGACTTTAGCTGGGTCTTGGAGGTCATGGACAGCGAAGGACTGACGGATGGGGAGCGTGATGACAATGAAGGGTTGGGACTAATAGATGGGGACAGGGAGGGAGAGCGCTCATAGGCCAGGGGGGACTCTGAGAAGGGGGGAGGGGATGGTGGCGGTGGCGGTGTGGTGATGAGGGCCGATGGTGGTCGTGTTTCACCGTTGCTGCGCTGGAAAAAGTTGTCCATGCTCTTGCTGCGCATGACTGATTTGAAGGACAGGGAGCGCTTCAGTCGCTGCAGCTGCAATGAAAAGATGTTTGAGCAAAGTAAGGAACGCACACATTAAACCAAAACCAGTTTATGGAGAATTACGTTTTACACACCTGCCTCGGAAGTAAGAGAAAACGGCAGAATAGGGTTAGTAAGGCTCCCTGAAAATCTAGTTTCTCAAGCAACTTCTTAGGATGAGCAATGGAAAGCAGCATTAACACAACAGCTCTGTGTATTCCCGCTTCCTCTGGGCTTCACTCATCTGTAGTGGACAGCGCTCAGTCATGCACCTCTGTCAAGTCTGAAAACATAATCATTCATCTAATGTGCCAGACCAACGGGCAAGGTGGACAGTATTCCCTTTTCTGCTTTTAGTCACTATTTTTGTTGTTGTTGTAGAAAATCTCTTCCTCTTCAGTGGCTACGTAGTTCCCCAGCTAATCACCTGCTCTGTCCGGGTCTCTTGGTGGTGCAGGGTGTGCAGCATGCAGGGACTTTGTGAATAAAATCAGCTCCCTGCTGTGGCAGAAATTATGCTATGAAAGTGGTGAACCGAAACAGCAGTGTTGTGGACCGGAAAACCAAGACAATGAGCTAAAGTCTGAAAAAAATTTTAAAAAAAGAGAAGAAAAAAGAACCCCGGCGTTGAGGGGAGCTGCTGGGTCGGCTGATAACTGTGTGTTTGTCACTTCAAGCGACCATTCTGTTGCACACAGTGTGATTAAAACTCAATATGAATATAACCAAAAAATACAGATGTTTTAAATGTGATTGTTTCTTTGACTGTGATGATTCACAGCCCTAACCCCAACCAGCCCGGAAGCCTCTGAAGGCGTAAGTGATGACAACTTGCTAAAACACCCACCCTCTCTGTTATTGAAGACATTCTACACCGGGTGCATCTTTAAAGCAGAAACTATGCAAGATGTGACATGACAGGTGTGCGTTCAGCTGTAGTGGATGTGCAGCCGGTCTGTAGAAAGTCCGTTAGCTCTCCCCTCTGACTGTCCTTGGCCTGCCAGGCTGACTTTTGATCTTCCAGCTTCAGCCTTTCCTCCCTCCGTTCCTTTGATCGCAAATTTGCCTTCCCCTGAGAATCCACACAAGTCAATACCCCTTAAAATTCATGTTTGATTAGTTTTATTGAGCGGGCTGCACCTTCGCATTTGATGCAGTCAGTGATGCACGGCAAACAATGTGTTTATCTTTGACTCGGCTCGCCTCCATTTCCAGTCTTGCCATCCAGTGCTCTGGGCCACAATAAACGGGAACTGATAATGACAAACAATTACGGGGACTTAGGAATGATGGGACCCAATATATGGAAATAATAACTGCTGTGGACTCATACATCAAGAGAATGGCCCGGAGAATGAGGGCAAGGACGTAATAGGTCCCTGAGACTGAAGTGCACCTCCTCAGTTTGCACACAGCTCGTTAGTCGTCTGTGTTTGTGGCTGAGGACGCCGTTCTGATAACCAGTCGTGCCTCCAACTTCAAAGTCGTACAGTTTTTATTTCATTCTGGCTTCATGCTGGCGTGTGTGCCTTACTTTTCCATTCTGTTTGTAGCAAACACAGTAAAAGGTGGGAAGTTTTTTCCTGAGCAAGAAAAACCAGCAACTTAAAACTGAGCAGATTTATATGAATGTCTGATGAATGTTAATATGTGGAGAGCATGCACATCATGTTGATTGCATCTTTGAGCTTTGAAAGCCACCACATCACCCATTTGCACTTCTTTGCAGAAAAGATCAACCAACAGCATTGAACAGATCCTCTTTTTCTCCTTTAAGCTACAGATTCACAGATGCCAATTAGTCTGAGTGATGAAAAGAGTCCTCGCTGTTGACCCATTAGGGAGTTCCTCTCATAAATGTTTTCTACAGGGAGCTGAGTCCATGCTTTCCTTAATGGCCTTTTCTTGGCTCGACTGGTGGCCCATTCGGTAATGGATGTTCCTCTCTATTAGATTTTTAACTTGTCTGTCTTTGTTAATCTTCTGTGTAGTGAAGGTCTGACGTTGCTCCAGTTCCAGGGGAAAAAGGAACAACTTCTTCAGGCACAAACGAGGAAACACATGTCTGATAATCAATGGCTTAATATATCTCTGTGAGCTTTTAAAAAGATTAAAGAAACAGACAGTCACAGGGATTTAAAGCTGGTGTAAAGATAAAAGAATAATAGCTACCTGAAAGCCAAACAGACTGTAAATAGCTTTACATGGCAGAATAATCATGAAAATTGGACACCGGTCCTCGACTACAGCATGTCAACACAAGCCAGTAATTCAATATGGACTGAATTTCTATTAGAACCTGTGTTCTGCAAGGACCCGCATCAAAAAATGACACAATTTACAATTACACAAAAATGAGTTTTTGGGGTTTTTAATTCCATTAATCCCAGCGTTATGCAAAGTGTTATCAAGAAGCTGAGATACATGGCATGGTCTGAAACACCTGGTCCTCATTCAGCCTCATCTGAAGAACCGAAGGCAGACCTCCCCATCAGATGAGACACATAAATACGACACATTTATTGACACAGACGGCACTGCGACATTATTCTTGTCTTTTTGAAGCTGCACAGGATCAGAACGCTCAAAGTCTTTTTCACATGAATACAACAACATTAAATCATCTGGTTTGGTCCTCAGAACTACTCAGTTATTTCCCTACAACATCCCAACAAGGCAAATCATTTAAAACAAAATACACCTCGAAGCTCTTACACTTCCAATTCAGGGGAATTCAAACAGCACATTGTGTTTTAGCCCAAAACAGTTTTGCAAACGCTCCCTCCAGTGTGCTCATGCAGAAGCTAGGTCCAGAACAAAATGGCTTTCTGGGTTTGGTGTAGAGAAACGTGACTGGCCCGACTTCAATCCCATCAATGCCAGACCTTATTGTCCCAACATCACTGCCAGGCCTCGCTAATGCGCTTGTGGCTGAATGGGATCAAATCCCTGCAGCCAGGTTACCAAATCTTGTTGAAAGCCTTAAGCAGAAGACTGAAGGCTCTCACAGCAGCATGCTGATCACACATGGCTGAATGTTGGCTGTCCCTAGTTTGTACACACCTCAGGCCACAAACGGTCATGACCCAGGTCGGTTCTGTTTCACAGACGTCCTGTCCTCTCACAGCCTGTTTAACTGAGCACTGCAGTTTGCATTCACTGCAACAGTGTCAACAGTCAGAACCCAGGTTTGGTGGGCTGGTCTGGTTTCAGTGTGGTGCAGACTACACAGCCTGTCATGCAAGTTAGAGGGACACAGACTGAAAAAGCAGCGGTGAGCCTGTGGCTTTATCATATTTAGACATGCTGAGTGAAATAAGCATTACATGAATATAGTTAGTCTCCACACATGTAATGAATGATCATAAATGCACATTACAAATAACAGACTGGTCAGTTAAACAGATAATGAACGCTAAGTGAGCCTCTGACATGTGGTAAACATATGCACCACTATCGTAGTTGTCTCCCAGCTTTTATTAGCATCAACAGAAACGTGACACATTAAAGGAAAACAGATGGCAGGAGCTTCGGTCGAATGGACTGCTCAACCAACTAGAGCTTCAATAGGGACACTCAAATTTACATCTATAAGAAATACATCAGTAAATAGAGTCAGACTGTGATCAACAGACCATCTTCAATGAGTATGATGCTGGTGCGAGGTCAGTGCTGGAGGTGATCAGACTGTCAGCAAGTAAAGTCTGTCAGTAAAATGACACAGAGACCTACTATAGCAGGGCTTCAGTGTATGAACCCCTTTAGTACAAAGACGAATGCACACTTGGGAGTTAAGTGGTGCAAAAGCCACAGAGACGTGGAAAAAAGAGTGACGTGGTCAGACGAGTGGTCCATCAGCATATTCCTGACAAGTGGGCGTGTGCGCTGTCACAGCAAACAACAGCAGAGGCCTGAATGAGCCCGAACCCACCAAATCGGTCCAAAGTTGTTCTGAGCGATCACCAAACAGTTCTATCTGGTCTCTTCCAGGATGACAGTGGACCAACCAATAGGTCACTGAATGTTTTTAGAAGTATGAAAACAATGTGAATCACAGGTTTCTGATCTTTGTAACCAACTGAAGCCTTACTGGGGATTTTGGACCCTCTGCACCACCATCACCACAACACCAGTGAATATACTTCAGAAGAAGAGCATTGCAATCCTCCAGTAGAGTTCCAGCGACTCAGAAGATCAATGCCAAGGTGCACCAAAGCTGTTCTGGCAGCATGTGGTGGCTCGACACGCTACTCAGACGCTTTATGACATTTTTTCCTTCAGTTCGTCACCTGTCTGCATGCGCCACATTGTGTTAGGAACTGTGTTGGTATAGCCGCTGGCTGACTAGTTGGTTCTCTCTGTAGTCAGGCCTTTGAGGATGATACTGAACAGGTATCCTCTAAACCTTTGCTGACCTTCCTTAAGTGCATATAGTATAAACCTATAAAACCTATAACCTACACAACCTGGAACGGATGGACCCCAGTCTACACATCTCTTCCAATAGACTCTTGATCCCACTGTCGGAGGACAAGCCGGTACGCCTTGTTCCTCTCAAGGTCAGATGGTCCTAGGCGCCGAGTTGTCTTCTTGTTTTCCCGTTCATAAATCTAGATATGGTCCCCCTCTAGAGCATGAGGGAGTCCTCAGGACTGAGGCTGGTGCTACTTGCATGAAGTGCTGCTCTGTTGGTGTCGCTTCTCCTCATGCATCCGTAAACCTTATTTCAACCGAATCATCGGAGTCTCCGGTGTGTTTCTGCTTCCTTGTCTTCTTTCAACCTCTTCAAGAATTCTGCAACAGATACTACGTTGTCTTATATTCTATAACAATCTCTAAAAACAGAACCAAAATCAAAGGCTCAGTTCTAATGAATGCAAATCTCTACATTTCTCCGTGGCAGTCTTGTGTCTCTGGAAGATTTTGAAGAGTCTATTTATGGATCACAGAACTGGAGACCCATCACACTGTGAACTACTGACAGCAATTAGCTCGTCACAGGGCCAGTGGTG